TCGCTATTGTGTACAGATTCTTGCGGTAACTACAAAAAAGATATTAGAATTCTATTTTTAATAGGGGAATAAAACTCAAAAACTAATGAATATGTAAAGAAGCCACGCTTGATGTTCGTGCTGTATACAGTGGTTGAGATGTATTCTCACTGCGTTTAGAGAGAGAGAGGGGGGAGGGGGAGAGGGAGAGAAGCGTACTATAATAATTTATAGTAAAACTGAATAGTTGACATTACATATTCCGTAGATTCTTATAGAATTTCTTGTTTTCTGAACGTAGCAATTTAGTCGAATTTTGTCTATTTTAGAGGTTCAAGAATTTAAGGTATTATTTATAGCCCCCTCCCTCCCCCCCCCCTCTCTCTCTCTTTCACCGAATATTAAACAAAAATAAAATGATAGCTAGATGCGTTCGAGTTTCTGAACACAGTCGACAGCCCTGGCTAGTTGGTGGTTGTTGTATTCCTAAAGTCGCCACACAAGTTTTTGCATAATGCTACATAATGCATGAAGCATAAGAGAATTAATCAGAATTTTTTATTTCTTATTCTGATTGGTTGATTATTTTGCCATCTGAATGTACTGTCTGATTTGTAAGTAATGATTATATCAATCGATATAATTTTTTATTTTCTTAGAAATATTAATATGGAGAAACATAAATTATTGCCGCATGTTAGAAATATTAATATGTAGAAACATAAATTATTTGCTCTACATGTTATCATATATTAAAATGAGATCTAATTTTTTTTAATTAACACTTACATGACTTGAATTATTAGTCTAAAGTCCAAGGCTCAATTTTTGCAAATCATTTTAGCTAAACAAAAAATATGGCAGAATTGTTGGAGCAAGACAGAGGAATGTAGAGTACATTTCTGTAGTATGAATCAAACAATATTAAATTTATTGATATCTCTCGTTGGGATAACAAATAATATTATAAATTAATATTCTTGAGGCTTTCACGGGTGTTTCCTATATGACAATCTTGTGTTTCGCGGGTTTTCTGCGTGTTCAAATCCATTCTTGGAATGCCAACGTTTCGTGAACCTATATAAATTCTTAATTTGTTGAACCCCAAATCAAAATACGATTTTTCAGTTAACACAGTTGTAGATTAGAGCATAAAATAAAGAATATTAACATAACATGACGACTAAACATTGTGTATATAATTATACTGAATAGAAAATCGTAATGAGAAGTGTCTTCTCATGAAATCTCATGAAATTGATTAAATGTATTACACAACAATTATTTACGATTAACTAAAGAAGACAATTAATGAAAATGACTTTCAAAAGTTTCAATAAGTCTGTTCTTTACCAATGAATATAGTGAACTGGTACACACGTTGTAGTAAGTGAAATAAACAAATTATAATGTAAGTCGAGACGTGGTTAATATTAAAAACAATATAAAATCAAAGGCATTGAATCACTACGCTAGTTATCGTCAGCGAAAATGATATATTCTTTAAAATTTTATTAACAATAAGACGTTTCGGTCTAAATTAGACCATCTTCAGTTAACATTCACACACAATGTAAGTAAAATTAAATGAAAATTAGTATGACGCTAGTGTTTTCTACAAAGTCATTATAGTTATTGGAATTAAACAAAATTTGTTGATACAATGATTCGTTTCTTCTCAGTTTAACAATTATTCTTCGGTAACAATTTTCCTTTATATATGTCAAAAAGTATTCAATTATAGAAAAATCCATCCAAGTACTTCAAAAATTCAGCGATGTAAGATATTGAACACAAGATTCCCCGATTCTGTTATATATCAAAATAACTATCGTCAATAAATTCAACTTATTTGTATAAAGGCCGTCAATTCAATATAATTTCATAGTGTAACAATTATTTCAACATTATTTACCTGTGTTAACAATATTTCGCAGCACGTACCGGATTTGGAATTTTAGATATAAAAACATTCCGAGTTACAATTGAAATGCGGAGTTCTATAACTTAAGTTAACGTATTTATACCAATCTATGTGGCGCTACTAGTTATTCTGATATCATACATTAGTTGAAGACTTTAATAGAGGTAAATATATTTCAGGAAATTTTTCTGTATCAGTCTGTTTGTTAATTCCGCTTTTATGTTTTTTAATAAATATCATTTCAGGTGTAAGTCGCCTATGCAGAGAAGGTTCCATATCTAGAATTTTAACATTTTTCCAATCGAAACAATGATCTGACAGTATTTGATGTGCCACAACCATGCGTGAATTGGTGGATTTCTTAGAACTAGATTTGTGTTCGGCTATTCTAGTTTCCATCTTCCTTTTCGTTTGCCCAACATAGCAGGCCTCACAGTCAAGACAATCAATCCTGTAGACAACGCAACTATGTTCCATGCTCTTTAATTTATCTTTACCAGTTTTTATAATTGAATTTAGAGTATTTATAGGCTTAAAAGCAATATTAAAATCATTCTTTTTTGCTATTGATTTAAATTTTTCTGAAATGTCTTTATGTGGCTTACTATTTGATGATTTACGAGGAAAATCGACCGACCGTCATTTTGAGATGACGCTTTTATTAAAATTTAATAATTATTTCTAATTTAATAAGAACTAATAACCAGAAAAGTCAATTATTATTATTAATTTTCACACGTGATTTTGCAATGTATGTGATTATAAGGAATTATAAGTTTTGTTATTATTTAATATATTTTGTCATTATTGATACATTGTATTCTTATTGATAGTTTATCTTTAACTTAAAATGTAATTTTTAAAAATGTAATCACTAATTTTATATCTTCTCTATGCTAGTTGTTTTTTTTACAGTTATATAACTTATATAGTTATATAATTATATGTATCATATATGAAAAAAATAAAAAATTTAATTTACTTCATAATTTATATTGTAGTTATTTAATCTCATTTTAAGAAAAATTAGGACATTTTGACCTCAAAAATAATTTTTTTCGAAATTAACTTTTTTTTTACTTAAGTTAATTCAATATTAACTTAACTTTCGTTAAGTTCATTTTTTATTCCTTCAACTTTTAACTTAGATTTATTAATTTTGTAAAGCCATTAACTTTAACTTTATTCAGTATGTTAAAAAAAAACATTAACTTACCCGACCCTGCCAATAACTATAATGACTTGTAGAAAACACTAGCGTCATACTAATTTTCATTTAATTTTACTTACATTGTGTGTGAATGTTAACTGAAGATGGTCTAATTTAGACCGAAACGTCTTATTGTTAATAAAATTTTAAAGAATATATCATTTTCGCTGACGATAACTAGCGTATAGTGGCTCAATGCCTTTGATTTTATATTGTTTTTAAACAAATTATATTTCGTTCAGTTCAACTTATTGCGGTATGTACACCAATTCGGAGAATTCTTCGATAAATAACAGGCCGAATATAATACAATGCAAAAAGTATTCTTATAAGGAAATTTTTTTTATAAAAAAAGCCTTATTTGTAGAAAATAAACATTAATGAGCAATTTTATACAATGAATACGTTCTGTTCTAACATAAACAAACAAGCTTTGCGTGTATTCTTGATTTTAGCTAAATTTCTCAACTATACGAATATTTCTTAGCGTTCAAATAATATAATTGTTAATTTTCGGTTATTTTTAAGATGATATATTTTCTATAATTAATACATATCTTTTTTTATATATAATATTGAGAAAAATACAGTCTATTTTATGAATTCTTTATGAATAAATTGTTAATTACCCAACAAAAAATAACAATTAATTAGACGTCGAATCGATGTCGAATTGATGTCGAAATTATTGTATCGATATTGTTGGACATCAATTCGGTGAATCATTTCTCGCTGGATAACGATTACTTTTTAAAATAAAATTTTTTTAAATATTTTTCTATATACGAATACATTTTGCACTGTACATAAGCAATTGTATACAAATAAATAAATGTCTAAGATTTTACTTAATTTCTGTAATACTTGATTCCCATCTTACTTATAACAACTTTTTACTTTTTATTAATAAATGTGATAGCATTATTGTAATTCTAACAATTTCTCCTGATATTTCCTCAAGATAATACACTATTCGACTGTCAACATAAAAATTACGAAAACGTTATAAAGATTTTTTAATTATAACATATGGTTTTTATTATGATAGTATCCAGTAGCCACCCGGTTGGTAATTATGAAAAGATTAAATTTCACCAATTACTTTTTTATACACGATTAAAATCAATATAGGCTCATATACACTTTGAATCACCTGACGGATTCTGTTACTTTCTGAAATAAAACACTTTAAATTTTTCTACTTCTAAAACTTAAAAATGAAGTATCAAGTACGATATAGATAAAGAAATTAATAAAAAGGTCAAAGTCATTGGGCGAGTTCAAGTCGGCAAAGTGCCTAGGTCAGTTCGCTGAGCAATTAAACATGAGTTGTTATGGATTCATCTGATAAGAACCAATCATGCCCATTCGCTCCGCCAGCATGTCTAGCCGCTTTGCCGGCTTGAACTCGCCATTGACTTTGCAAAACGGAAAATGTGGGTTCCGCCCCCCTTCTCTATGGAAGGCTACATTATCAAAAAATTAAATGTGGATAGGTGTAAACCTCTGTTTAACTTTCCACTCGAAGCGTGTAAGCCAAAGCTATCTCGTATCTAGTATTTTTGTGTTACTTTTGAAATCTTCGCTGTTGAAGGTTCGGCTTAATAATCTAGATTTCGAGATGCACCCTAACATATGTTATATTACATTTACAATAGAATTCGGCTTTTCACTCTATTTGTATGAAACAGTTCGTATCTCAGTTCCAAATATACGAACTTAGCTGAGCTCCAAACTATGTGGCGTATACGTTATTATAGTTTGAATAATAAGAGCTGTGTAATGTGTTTGATTTCATTCTTATTGTTGGTATTAAAACTATTGATAGGAGAAAGTTCAGGAATAAAGTACAGAAACTCTATTATTTGAATCACTTCTTGTCTCCACATGATCAACGGAGTTGCACTGTATATTGTTCAATATAAAATTGTTACATTGATATTATGTTATTGTTAGTCGATGCTGATATTGTGTAGTGTATAGTTTTATTCATACATTTTATTTATCAAATCAGCATACACCGTTTGTACGACGTTCCTTTTAAGCTTTAACGTGGGCCCCAATTCGCCAGTTGGAATCGAAAAATCATGAGGAAGAATTTCAAATTTCTGTACTTTTTGAGCATTACTTATGGCTTGCATATTTGCTCTCTTAATTGCCTTGTCGATTTCTTCATATATCTAAAAGATCAAGAAACATCTTGTAATATTTAAACATGCAGACCAAACTAACAGATACGAATTCTACCGAACTGGTAATGTTATTTCCATTAAAATGACATTTATAGCACAATATTGATTCACAATCGGTATTAATCCAATATCGTTTCAATACGTCTCAATACCAATATTTAACTAATGCAGTAAATTGTTACTATAAAAGTTGTTTAATCATATTTGTTTGCTCGATTCAGACTTGAGAAATACATTTTTTTTTATTATACAGTATTAAATAATATTATGAATCTCTTTTAAGACTTACGGCTGTATCGCGGGAGTTTATGACTTCTGTAACTGTTTTAGCACTACTACCAATAGAATGTGCCCATTTTAATACATCTGGCGCTAGCGTATCCAAAGGCGCGCCAGTCTCTTCATTCATTTTACTCTGAAAAAAACGTATTATTTAAACATTGATAATTTTAAGTTTATATTCTATTATTTTGTCGAATTGTACCTTAAGCGTGACAAGGACAGTTAAATATTTTCTTCGATCTCCAATTACCGTAGCATTACTTAAATATGGTATTTCCGATAATATCGATTGTTCTATATTATACGGTGCCACATTTTCCCCTCCGCTTGTGATTATAAGATCTTTTATTCTACCTGCGAATACATAAAACATAGATATGTGTTCGGTTAAAACCGTAACAATGCTTAAAGGTGTATTCCTGAGATAATTAAAACACAAATCACAATATCAAAATATTAAAACTTTATAATGGTTTTTTAATTACATTTAAAGTTAGTGAATACTGCCTGAAGTTCGAACGTTTAGGCGTAACACAATGAAAAATATCAACCATATCTGAAAGGGCAGACTTTAAGCGGTATGATTTGCTAACTTTAAATAGTTATGACTCAAATATTATTACAGCTTCGTTGTTTTGGTATTGAGCTTTTTGTCTTAAAATAATCTCAAGCGTTGTTACAGGTACCATGTATATTATACATCATATTTATATAATCCATTATTTTTTATGAGTATTATTATAATGAGTAATAGTATTATTATAATGAGTGCTAATAGTGTAAATCAAATACTTACCAGTAATAAACAAATTCCCATTTGAATCTAATTTGCCAAGATCACCACTATGTAACCAACCATTTTTATCTTTGGTTTCTTCTATTTTTTCTGGTGCATTTAAGTAACCCATAAATATATGTCGTCCACTCATACAAATCTCTCCCTCGCCATGTTCATCTATATTGTCTAATTTTGTACATAGTCCGGGTAAAGTCTTTCCTACACCATCCACGCTAACAAATTAGTATAAAATTTAATGTAAACAACATATTTTAAACATAAATATCTTCAAAAATTCAATATAAAGAATAAAATTAAATATAATTTACCTGTATTTGTTAATATCATTTAATGTATGAGCTCCACTACATTCAGACATTCCATATCCCTCTAATAGAGGCATGTCTAAACTCAGGAAATACTTTTTAATATCGATATTCAAGGGTGCTGCTGAGCTACCGAAGATTTGACACTTATTTAAACCTAATGCTGCCTTGACTTTGTCGAAAACAAGCCATTTAGCAAAAACGTAGCCCCAATGTTTATAATCCATGCCATTTATTTTATTCGTGTAATAATGAAGAGCTTGTGCTTTTGCCCATTTAGCAATGCAGGTTTTTATTACGCCGTTATTATGCGCGTTCTCTTGCATTTTTTCATATATCTTTTCCCATACTCTGGGCACACCTACGAAAAAAGTTGGTTGTGCAACAAGTAACGTATTTATTAACGTACCCTTTAATGCACTTGGGTCCGCAAAATATACAGTGCTCGCTAACATAATGTTTATTACGATATCAATTAGCTGGAATTAAAATATTATATAATCTCATTATGCAAATTAATAAAGACAAAGGGCTATTAATATCGAATAATGATATAACGACGGACATATAAAACTTAGTTGCAAAAATCTTAACATATGAAATATGGAACGTTTTTTGTAAATTTTATAAATTACAAATCATAATTACTGATAAGTATAATTTCATTGTCAATAATATTAGCTAATAGTTAAGATCTGATTCCAACTGCTTAAAAAAAGTAACAGTAACGACGTTACAATTTCCGCGTTTCAATCGTATGTAATTTATATACGTGAAAATTTGTATTAATTGTAATGTCAATTTTTATTTAAGATACATAAAATATATATTATGCTATTTGGAATATTTTACCTGTGCTGCCATATGAGACAGTGGCAGATAGCTAACTATAATCTCTGATTTTTCTTTTAAACGTAGCATTTGCAATAATGCACGTAGATTGAACAGCACATTATCATGGTTTAACATTACAGCTTTTGGACTTCCGACTGTTCCCGACTATAAAGATTGCAAATTAAAATAATAATACATTAAATATGTTATAGCAATCGCAATATGATTAACTGCGATAAATTGGACCTACCGTATATACTAAAATACAACATTCATTTACTCCTATCGTTTTTAACACAGATAGTAATTTATCCTCCGATTCTTTTTTACCTATGTCCAATAAATCGTTCCACTGAGAAAATATAAATAATAATAAGTCATATATACTAAATAAAAAGATATTAAACAAGCATACTAATCAATTTACACTCAAAACATCCTTTTCGGTAGGTATGCCATTATATTGAACAATTGCTTTCAAGTGGGGCAAATTGTGTTTTATTTGCAAGATTTTCCGCAATTGCTTTTCATCTTCAACGACTATTATATTTGCCCGACTGTCTTCGGCACAATATTGGCATGCCTTTGGAGAATTTGTGATATAAATCCCTGTAGCGATTCCACTAAAAAGGAACGATGATCTATTTAAAATCTGAATGATCTATTAAAAATTCGACTTAAATATCGGAAAAGTAAGAATACATATTGTTGAAAATGTTATATTGCTTTTTATTATCATATCGTTATATTATACGCAATTTGTGAATATGTAAACAGTACGTGTAAATTATAAGTGATGTTTATTTTGATATAAAATGATTAAGTCTTTTTACCCAGCATATATAGTCGCGAGATCGGCAATAAACCATTCCGGACTATTGAATCCCATTATGCAAACACTATGATATCGCTCCAAACCCAACTTTAGAAACGCTTTCGCGACGATTCTTATAACAGACTCGTATTCTCTGAAATATAAATTAACAAAATTTTAAAAAATTAATTGTATCATCTATCGAGTAAATAAATGTAGTTGCTAAATTCATGGATTTTACCTGTAAACCAGGTTGAGAAGAATAGAAAAGAAAAAGTTTATACAAAAATATTTTTATTTTACAAAATCATAAATAGAGAAAGGTCTTACATGTTTTATCATTATACATATAATTATACTTATTGTGATAATGTAGGAAAACAAAAGTTTTATTATATTTTTTTTTATACATACTGGAAAGTATATGTGGCTCTTTTGCCGTTGACATCAGGTCTAGACACCAACGCTATATGGTCAGGATAAAGCTTTGCTGTTCTAGTTAAAACTCCAGGGATTGACACGGGCATGCATGAATTAGATCCATTGCTATCTAACTTTATTCGTACTCTGCCGCCGGCGTTGCATGTAGCATCTATGTCCGTAGATAGTACCTGGTCTGGCCCTAAAATTATTAAAATATAAACATTTTTTATTTTTTTATTTACCAAATAAAAATTTACAGAATTTACATATTTTATGAAATACTTAATAATTAATTAAATTACTGTAAATAAAAAATTTTTTTAATATATTATGACAGAATTACCATCGAGACCAGTTTCACTAGCTAATGTACATGTAGTTGATTGATTCATCTCCTGCAACAATACGACTTATAAATTTTAAATGATGATATTTTTATTTTGAGCGAGAGCCGGATTCGCGATCAATAATCCTTTTCTTGAATAGGATCCCTAAATTAAATACAAAATTTGACAAATTTATGCTGCGGTCCACTAGGCGGTTTAAACGTTATAGAAAATTTATTGCACTAACGTGACTAGTCCATTTGACGTTTCGGAACGCTCTCAGCAATTCCGATTACCTCATCAATATATCATCGTTTTTGTTCCAACTGCCTCACCCTCGGGAGATGGATTGGCTAAGCGCTCACGTAGCAATTGTAGCATTCGGAACACTATTGGATCATTCGGAGCGTAGCGTTTGGAGTGTAGCGTTCAGAGCATTTGAAAGAAGCAAGTGGACCGCAGCCTAATTAACCTTTGGAGGATCGGAGGCGCCTTTAAAGACTCGTCAGTGGTCTTGACTCGTCAGTGGATTGAATGGTGAAAAAGGTGATCACCTTTTTCACCATTCAATCCCATGACAATAACAAAAAAGTTCTAGCCCTTAAAATAAAAAAGTCGATCAAAAACATACCGGTCCTCAGAAGGTTAACAACATCGGAATCATAATCGAATCGATAAAATTACTTTTTGTTTACAGTTTTTTAGTTTACGGAGAATTTCTTGAAGAATCCGTTCTTGCAATGTCTTTGAAATCGTAAAAGAGTGCGCGGTGTTTGTAAAAAAGAAGAAACTCGTTCGATGGAATAACGATCGAATATTGCACAAAAAGAAATAATAAATATAAATTTTCTTATTAAACTTAGTATTCATTATTTTTTATACAAGTTATATCATTTTGTAATAATTTTTGTAATAATTTTTAGAGATGGTTCAATAACATAAAACATAAATAAGAAGGAGCATACAGTTACAACGCAAGATGTTTTTTGCACAAGTTATATATTTAAAATTTAAAATATAAACGTTCGGTTAAGTTTCGACCATCATCAAATACAACTAAAAGAATGATATTATATAATAAAAATTGAAAGTGATCATAAAATCTGATAATTAATTCTGTTTCCTCGATCTTTTTGGCATATGAAATTTTCTTATTGAATATTATTTCTTGATCGGTTGTATACTAAACACGGGATTATTAGATTCTGACAAACAATGTTATATAAAATAAGTTATTATCTTTTTTTAATGTATTAAAGTGAATTAATTATAAAAACTTATCCATATTTCCACAACGATCAATTGCACTATAATGCGGTATTATTTGGTATGAAGAATATTACAAAGACGACAGAATTTTCTGTCGATAATAAGAATATTATTTAAGAAAGATCGTATAATTACAGTGACATTGTCAGCATTTCGAGACGGTATTTATATATATTAAGAGAAAAGAGAGGGAAAGTGCTAGAAGGGGGTAATTTATTAGTGAAGGGGAAAAATGTCAGGAAAACGTAATGTATCACTTTGTTTATTTAATATCCTAAATCTTATTTCTTTATGTGTATCATCTTTAATACCATTCTTTTATAGTATAATATTTCTAAATCTAGAATTTTTGTGTTATTCCAATTAAACTTGTAATTGTATTCTAGTTGGTGCTGAGAGACTACTGATATTGCATTATAGAAGGCTTTTTTATGTCGTCTTTGTGTACTTTCAGGCTAGTATTAAGTTTAGTCTGACCAACATATGAAGCATTGCAATCAGAACAATTTATTTGGTAGACATTAACATTTGAACGATCTTCTTTTTTTATTTTATCTTTTTCAGTTTTTATGAAAAGATTTAGAGAATTCATAGGCTCATAAGCAATATTAAAGGTAATTTGTGTGTTACAGTTTTAAATTTTTCTGAAACATTTTAAAAGTATGGGACAGTAAAAAACTTTCTATTTTCTATGGAATCAGAGATAGAAACATCGTTATGAATTTTGATGTTATCGAAATTATTTTTAAGTGACAGCGCTTTTATTCTGTCGTGGAAAAAAAGAATTCTAATGGATATCCATATTATCCATTATTTAAAAAAGTGTTATGAATAAATATTTTTTCGTGAAATTTTGGATGTGCAAGGAATAAAATCCTGTCTAGTTGTTCGATAACTACACCTTTCTTTTGTTCAAACGGATGATTAGAATTATACCTGCCTGAATTTGTAGGTTTTTTTATAATTGTCAAAAATAATCGTTTCGTTATCAATCAATAGTTTAACATCAAGAAAACTAATTTAGTTTGTTTAATTGTTTAATTGGGATAACACAAAAATTCTAGATTCAGGAATATCAAACTAAAAGAATGATATTAGATATGATACACATAAAGAAACAAGATTTAGGATTAAATAAACAAAGTGATACATTACGCTTTCCTGACATTTTTTTGCCTATCATTAGAAAAATGTTCCCCCTTCACTAATATATCACCCCCCCCCCCACCCTAGCACTTTCCCTCTTCTGTCTCTTAATATATAAATACCGTCATACTCTCAATATATGAATACCGTCTCGAAATGCTGACAATGTCATGTAATTATTTGATCTTCCTTAATAATATTCTTATCATCAAAAAATTCGTCCATTTTCGTAATATAAACAGTATTATATAAATTGCTTATACTATCTGATAGAGGACACGTTTTACTTTGTATTTATGTTTTTGAAGTTGTATTTTTACCTTTTGTTTAAGAAATATTGTCTAAAAACAAAGTGATATGTCGGTATCGGTGACCTTCCTCTACTAAAAAGTTGACGAAAAATTCTGAAAAATTCTTAGAGCTCTATGAGAAAAAATAAACAATTTTTGTCTCTTACTGTTTTTCTATTGTCTAAAAACAAAGTGATATGTCGGTATCGGTGACCTTCCTCTACTAAAAAGTTGACGAAAAATTCTGAAAAATTCTTAGAGCTCTATGAGAAAAAATAAACAATTTTTGTCTCTTACTGTTTTTCTAAGTTGACTAGCACATCCCCTGCGCGCGCTACGCGCGCGCTGCTTTATTATATTCACTAAATTAAATATGTA